AGTTGCACAGTGTTTGCTCACTCAGACAAAGCATTCCAAATCAATACGTTTGCTCTGAAGCTGAAAAACAGCACAAATGCTTTGTGGAGGTATTGAAACTGTTCTCTTATTACATTTTCTTTTCTGTGATTTGTTTTCTGTATTTCTCTCTTTCTCTCTCTCTCTCTCTCTCTTTTTTTTTTTTTTTTTACTTGTTGTCTCCTTAGGAATGAGAAACAAACTCATCAGTCCTTTCTATTTACTCTATATTGGATGACACTTCCTCGATGACACTTCCTCAGTAGAAACATACTATATTTCTTTTTTCAGGTCAAATGTGTGACCATGAAAAGCATTTCCATGCAGCTTTCACATTTCAAGGTGAAAACTGTAAAAATATTTACTAACTTGCTAACTTGTTCACATCACCAAAATAACACTGGAAAGCATTGTCTATTCCGAACATAAGGGCCCCTTTATTTTTTTGGTAAATACATGAAAGATTTCTTTCTGCTCTTTTGTCCTTTGATAAAAACAATGAAGTACCAAATCACTCGCATGCATGAACATACCTATTGTTAATATTATTGTTTCAGTGCTTACCAATATGTCTCTGAAAAACATCTGCAGGCTGAAAATCTGAGTTCAGAAAAATGAAACGAATAGAAAAAAAAATATATAGTAACAGCTGATTCTAGCTGTAAAGAGCAGATGGTACTCATCCATATGCTATTCTGAAAGTGGGAGGCCACACAATATATAAGCTATCAAGCAAGTATCAGACGGTCTAGCAAGAGAGCAAATACTGTATTTATTATCTAGAAAGTTCTAGGAGTATTTTATGAGCTCAATTGTCCACATTATTTACTATTCTCAGATAGGATAATTCTTCCAAGTACCAATAGCTCAATGAATGCAAAGTGAATTCATCCTAGATGAAGATCTGTATCTGCGGAATCATGACAACCCATATAGGATTTACTCCAAAGAATGCTGAAAAGCTCTAAATAAGAGCATAAAGAGCATGCTTCTTCTACAGAAGAATTTCATGAGCTAGTAATGACATGAGCAGTACCATGACAATAGACCTGGTTAAACAATATAAGCAAATGATGCTCAGCCTTCTATAGAAAGGCAAAAATATTAAAAAGTTGCAACTTGACAATAATGAAAAAATACATTAATTTTCTGGTGTAAAAAAACTTTTACTGACTGGAAAGATGGGAAATTTATTTCTAAGCCTCAGTCTTATCTCATTAAAACACCAGAGTGTTAAAAAAGAATACCAGATATTTAAGTGTAGATACCAGATATTTAAGTGTCATAAAATACATTAAGTGTATTTTATGACACCCCTTTCCTGCTAAAGGGGTGTCATAAAATATCTCTGAGAAAGAAGCAATAAGAAATAGCCATTCACTCTGGAAAAGGTGATGAGTCTACAGGATCACAAGAAACCTTCAGAGGGAGGAAGGGAATCAACTATTACATTTCTTCCATTGGAAGACAGAAGGCATCACAAAGCCAAAGGATGCAGTTATACACATGGCAGGTGGTAGACATGCAAATTTTTTTTGCCAAAGGATGTTGCAGATGCTAAAATTTTGCAGTTTCAGACAGAAAATGAACTAATTCATGCAAGACTTTGACAATTTTAGAAACTATTCTCAGGAATACACTAAGCTGAAAAAATTTCCTTCTGGAAAAGTGTCTTACATGCTTGCCTTGTTCGTACTTTTCATTGGACATTCTCTAACAGCCACTGCATTGGAGATCTGTTCAGAAATAGGTTCTTGTTTACTTACTTGCTCTTACTAAAACCCCAACAGTAGAAGGAACTGAAAGTTAAGGTTAATTTTCATTAGTGACTTTCCCATTATAATAAATGATATTTTTGTTTACCATGACACTCCAATGGTATTGCACACTTCCCTGTAACTTTTTTCCTTAGTACATGTATCTAGTTTTTGTATCTTTTTTCCCTAGTACATGTATGAACATCATTTGTGCCATATATAGGGTGTGTGTATATATATATATATTAGTATAATAACTGTCACAGTATATTTTTGAACAAAACAAAGTCAAGGTTTTAAGTTATCTGATAATTACTAGTGAGTCTTATTTGCCCTATCTAGGAAGATCCAGAAATACAGATTTCCCATTGGACTGCAGAGTTCTGGAATAAAAGAACAGAAGTACACACTATTCAGTATTGATCTTTGTGTAGTAATTTAGGACTCAGAATCATTACTCATGAGTCATTTTTGTTCAGACAGAATTTGTTCCACAGAAGCCAACACTAATAGTTTTATTCCATAAATAAGAGATGCATGATTCAACCCTTACTTAAATTTTACAAAGTTTGAAACTAAGATCACAGAAAGAGTTCCAGTGAACTCATTAGGCATGCTGTCAAAATGTTTCAAAGCAGCATTACAGATTGTCACTAATGCTCAAGTTTCTGAAACCTGGCTGAAATGATCTTATCTTTGTTACACAAAATGATGAGGTTCATTCCTCTGTCTTTCCAAATTAATTAATTAGTATATGGCTTGTGGGTAATGATCTTCTTCTTTCTATAAGCTCACCTCTACTCATCTAGCAGAGATCTTTCAGAAAGAGAAGATTTAACCCAGGCAATTCATTGTATTCTTTGTTCTACCATGAATTACTTACATCCTCTCCTTTTATGCAAAATGAACAAATGAAACATGGTATGTAACTGTATGTGAGTTAACTAATATACTGACTATTTAGTTAACTAAATAACTGAAGAATATTACAATGTCTTGCACACTGGGACATACATAAATACATGCAGCTGGTCATTGATGAGAAAGTACTATCTGTGCAGACTACAATGGGAGAAGGTATAATGATAATGATGATAACGCAGCTGCAGGACCAGCTGCGGAGTGACATCCTTGAAATTGGAAAAAAAAAAGTGGAAATCCATTGGAATCGAAACTTTCTTATGTTGGAATCTCAGAAAAATCTTTTCATTTTTGTATTTATTTTACTCAAAAGATTACTGTTTTGACTGTATTGTCGTACTTGACTTGCTTGAGGAAAACACTGAACATTATCTCAGTTATGGAATAATTCTGATCTACCTTGAAATGTTCAGTGTGTTGTATTTTACTTATTTAAGGAAACATAAGGATAAGTAATTCCACGGAATTCATCTCTTATTCCTCACACACAGTTGCAATTTTACATCAGCAGCGTTTTTTTGTTTATTTTTGTCTTTTTTTTTTTAATTACTAAGTTTTATAATTGTTTGATTAATTATTCAACTAAATTTTAGTTCATAGAATAGAAATACAAAGTAATATTTCACACTAAGAAACCCAGCAAATCCTGAGATTTGCCAAGTAACATAAATCTTCCATTAAGATATTCTAAGGTCCAAGTCCTCTTGTAGCCACTACTACTAAATTGGCACAGTTTCTCTCAGGTGTTCTCTGCTCCAGAAATTCTGGCAGCTGGGGTTGGCCCATTAGTACAATAGCTTGATTCTGATTTTGGAACCCAAATATCACTGCTTGCACAAAAAGAAGTGCAGCTGCCCTACTTGGCCTTCTTTTCTTCTGCACTGATAGACTTGTATGATTAAACAGCATCAAGAGACTCATTCATCCATTTAACACATGGCCAATAATTGAAATTGCTTTCATATTCTGAAAGAGAAATGAGAGGTAGGAAAGTAGTTCAGAGCTCTTAAGTCCCACTAAACAAAACAGAGATAATCCCCCTCAGAGAAGTTTCACTGAAGATAAATCCGGCCCCATTAAAAGTCAACTAAAATCTGCTGTTGAATTGCAGCGGAGACAAGATACAATTCTTCGTAATTTCTTCTTCACCACTGAAGTGTCAATTACCAAATTTTTCATAAAAAGCAAAGCAATGTTCAATACTATAAAAATATTCCTACTACTGTCAGGTATAAAGAAGAGGTAGAGAAGCCAACTAGGTAGCTACTGGTACATTACAATGTTCTTTGGCTTTAAAAACAATAAGCACAGTGAAAAACACATGAGAAGATATAATTTCTAAAAAATTTTGGAGAAAACAATTAATATATTAAAAAAAAAAAAAACTGTCGGTTTTGCGTACACCTACAGACACTTTGTTCCAAAGACAATGGAAAGTAAAATGGGAAATTCTGAATAGTCTCAGTAAGGGTCTATGTAAAGCTAAGTGAAGGAAAATGGAATATATTCGGATGAATATTGAGGTAACGGAGAAATGTAAAGAATTAATTTTAAGATGCTGAAAATACAATGCATAAGAACATATTGATCTGCAGGTTCTAAAAATTGGTGGAAAGTGTTTGCAATATAGAACAAATTAGAACTCTCTTCAACAGATTTTTATGGAAGAAACAAAGAAAGATGCTATAAGTAGCTGCACTTGAATTATTTAAGCTACTTAAAACAATTGAAGGGAAGTTCTTGAGAACTTTCAAGTCAACATTTAACTGTCATTAGGTATTGAAACAGCAAGAAAATCTCTATTCTACAAACCCTTTTAAAAAAACTTCAGTCTAAAAAAAAGATTTACCAGTAATACTAGAGACTTAGTTGAACCTGAGATTTGTCCTTAGAGAAGGACAAGGGGATTGCAAGATTCAATTGCCCCACTCCTCTCCCTCCACTGGTCTCCCAGTGTACTACTGGCATTAATCTGTTAACATAAGCATTGATAAATGAACACCGAGATACTAGACTCTGTCTATATATATTTAAAAAACCAGAAGCAATCCTACAATAGTTGCCAGCATTATAATTTGGTACTGATTGCAGTTTAGGCGCTAGTTCTGGAATGTGTGTGTACTTGAGTTTTTATTATGTATGTGGCTATCACTGTGTGCTGCTATTACCTTTCCTTGTCTTACACCCCTTGAGGTCTTAGACAAGGATTAAGCGATATTACTAACAAGCAATTTGTAAACATTGCTGCCAGTGCAAGAATAGCTGGGATTTAATGTACAAAGAAACATGACAAAAAAGACATACCTGGTCCAATGCAGAATGATGCAATGATTGCAAGAATGCAAAATATACTGAGGTAAGGAAGCCAATGCACATTATTCTGGGTAGAAAAAAGACATTCATGTTAATTGTATCGTACTTATCTCCAGTATTAAAAAATCAGAAATAATATTTTTTTCCACAATTCATTCTCTATTTCAGAATTTAGTCTAGGACTAATTTAGAAAATCACATTTCTGTAGAATTTTATTAGATTATTTGCATAGAAGGTCTTGCTCTCTGTGGTATCCATGTAGAGAAATACTAGCCAGTCTCCTGCACCACAGAAGTCACAACTCTAAAGGTCTACAACTTCTTGTGCTAAAGTTCAAGCCAATCTGGAAAAGAGTTTTTCTTTCTATTGTACAGATTCTGCACCTCTGTCCTCCTCAGATATTTCAAGCATGTTTAAAGAGCAGCTATGATGATCCAAAGAGCTTCTAAGTTCTCCAGTTAAAGGCTGGGCAGAAGTCCAGATATAGAAGGCTGCCTTTGGGTCAGACAGCTGTATCTGAAACTTCACATAGCACATGAAAGCCACATTCGAGGCATTTTTAGCCATAACTTTATTTTGCAGACAAGAAAGGTCATGCGTGCAAGCAACAAGGACTTGTAAATGGAATCACCTGTTTTCCTCACAAGGCAATCTTTTTATTTTACTCCAAAGTAGATTTCTCTCAATTCATACCTCTAAATGATAGGAACATGAAATACTCTGCATGATTTCTACTGAGTTTTCAGGACACTCTTTCTTAACTGTCTACATGAATTCTTGATAAAAACACTATTAGATAAGGAAAAACTCAGGGATTCCCTTTTCTTTCTGTCTCTCCATTTATTTATTTTTTCCATCAGCAAAGTTTTTATTAGAATTTTACTGTTTTTGCAAATTTGATCAAGATACATATGTATTATACAAGATACATATATGTGCCCTAAGTGGCACTGTAAAATACACTTGCTAAAACATGTAATTATTTATTTCAGTGCTAAATAATGACCCCCATTTTCTGATGGCTTTCTCTTATAGTCTGTCTATTATGCAGTGTGTCTATTAGGCTCAGTATTTAGATTGTTTTAATAATTATCCTTTGACCATTTGAAAGAGTTGGAGAACCAACTGCTAATAACATCTGAAAACTTAAGAGCAGATGTTCTGCAAAGGCTGTCTTTATAATTTTAATAAAAATATGTGACTTGATAGAAGAGTAAACATGGATACTTATCCAAGCCTAAGTATAATGAATATTATGAATAGTATGAAATATTATGAATAGTATGAAAGAAGACTGCTTTACAAGCAAGGATAAAAACATAGAATATAATATTTCCCAGCTATGGGTAAACCTGTCTTCATGATAGTTCATGATATGCCTGAGTCTTTCATTTGATGAGAGGTGAATGTTCAAGGCCCCTATGGTTTCTTAATGCAAAACCTACTACAGCTAACTACAGTGTTTTGAAAACACCAGATTTATAAAAAAGCAAAACAACAGATTTATAAAAAAGCAAAAGACAGACCTTTGAATCCTTACATCAAACCAATTAAAAGGATTGGCTTATAGAGGAACACTGAGGCAAACAGGTATCAAGTAACTGGTGTTTAGAATAGACAAAAGAGAGAACAAAAATATCTAATGACTGTGTTGTTACCTGTAAAGTCAGAGACACGGTAAGAATTGCAAAGAAGACAATCATCAACCCAAAACCTCCGATGAGAAGAGGCCTGCGTCCGAGCCGCTCAATAACTAAGCCCTGGAAAACAAAAATTGGCATCAGACAATGTAATATGCTCTTTTGGTCAGAATGTAATGCCATGTAATATGCTCTTTTGGTATGAAGACCAAAAATAAATATAATTTAATTGATTTTGTACTACATATCAGGTATGCTATGTTTATAATTGTCCTCACAATTATGTTTACACAATTCTACATTGATTTAACTGCTTACAAATTTTCACTAAATTCCTATAATATACAATTATATAATATAGAAATATACAATTTTTAAATGTCAGTATTTTGAAAGAAATTACTTCCTTGCTTTTGCATTTCAACTATTAATTTCAACAGCTCATTCAACATCTCTTTCAACATAAACTTGAAAGGTTTAAGATTTAAGCAAAAAAAAGAAAAAGCTTAGGTTAAGTAACTTTTATTAATCTACAATTTGTTTTTAATTTCTGGTTCACCTGAATTCAGAAAACAAAAACAAAACAAAGCAAAAAAAAAAAAAAAAAAAAACAGATTTAGTCATCATCTAGATTTAATTTGAGTAGCCATATAAAAGAAATCCATCCATCAGAAAACCTCACTAGGACAAGGGATTATTGAACAGATACCTGTGCATTCATGAACAATTTGAATTTATATTTAACACCTTAGGATAACACAACATTGTTAACAGTCAGAAAATTTGAATACTATTCTGTTAGAAAAGAACACAGTGAAAAGATTTCTGAAAAGCTGCAATATGAAACTGAATTTTCTTTGCCAGTCAGACTCATTAAAATAGGCTATACCTATTTTAGATTACAATATTTTCTAATACATTATTCTCATTGACAACTACCATAATTATCGATTACAATTGGTGTTGTTATGAGAAGGGTAAAACAATTTTATGAAGCCCAAAATGTATCATTTTGAATATCTTAAAGTCAGAGTCACATGACTGTCACACAGTTATTTGGTAGAGACTGAAATCGGTCTTTCAGACATCCCTTGAGCAAAAGATTAAATGAGCAAATAAAATTAAATCTGGAGCAATACCTTTAATTTTTGGAGACAACATAGACTTCCACTATGAGCATCTAAAAGAAATGTGTTACAGGAAAGCACATAGTTGTTCAAGGAGGAAATGCCTCATGTGTAAGCACTTCTCCCACAATGTCAGTTTTACCAGCAGTTTTTAGAAGAGGTTTCAAAACGTGCCATCCCCATTACCCTGAAGAGGTGGACTTCCACACCAGAGAGTACCATGACATGGCAGAACACAGCTAGCAGCTCTGCAGCTAGATTTAGCATTCCTTATTTCTTTAAATGAGGAAGTATACTCATTTTGACAGTTACCACAGATTCCATAATATAATTTATTTCAGAGCAGTGTTTAAAATAGACTTGATGTTATTAAGGTTTCACATTGCACTCATGGAGTCCAAATGTTCTAAAACTGCAGCTGTTATGCTGTCAAAACCCTACAAGATGCCAAATATTTTGAACGTTGATTAATGAATCCATCTTGCAAATACATGTGGCCACACAAACTTAACCAAGAGACGTTTTTTATAACTATGAAGGATGTAAATTTATCCAGTGGGTCCATTAGAAGATGGAGACTTCTGCAGTGTGTTCAGCAATGGATGCTACAACCATAATTTGACATACCAGGGACTTTCCCTTACTTTTTCAATTACAGATTGGTGGTTGTGATTAAACAATCTTAGTGTTACACCAGCTGGTGGGTTTTGTATTAAAAAGGCATGAAGGATGAATGTCTCCCTCAGAGGAAAAATGGTTCATATACAGAGCAAAATGTGGAAAAAAGTGCTATACAGTTTCTGGCTCTCAACCTCAAGGTGAAGCAAACGCCAGTAAGCGAAGACTCCAAGGAGATATGTACATACACCTGTACCTGCATACATTGAGAATAAGTAGTCCAGACATATTTGGAAATCTAGGTGGGTTGGTGAGGAACTCCCAGTTTTAATTGAGAGCAGCAAAGCACAGGCACAAATACATCAGATCTGCAAGCTCCATATGTTTTTTAGAGAAGAGAATAATAGTTTCTAATATATATAAATTTTATCTTATCCAGAGATGAGTGGGGAAGACAACAGAACAAATCCACATGAAACAGTTCTTTTCTGTGAGCTGATGCCAGGTTTCCCAATCTTTCATCGTCTTACAGAGTCATTGTTATTTTATTTAATACAGCAGCACTGAGGAACTTGAATGCTTCAACTTATGGGTGCTTCCTGCAGTTTCTGCCCCAAAGAATTTGCAACTATAATTCCTGGTGGCAGTTTCTGTTATTTATAGAACGGACCAACTTTGTTCACTGGAGAAAGTAAACAGCAATTTTGTACTTATTCACACAGATACTGTGATGTACCCAAATTGCTGGAAATGTTATAATCATTTTCAAAGTTAATCCTAAGTAAATCACACTAACAACTCAACAAAATCTATAGAATACTAAGAAGGCAAAGGCTTCTCCATTAGACATGATTAACTTTCCCAGTTATAAGGAGAAACAATCTATTTCCAGTTTAAAGCCAAAGACACCTCTAATTTGTTCAAATGCATGGCCCACCTCTTGCATCTCCAATTCAAACCAAACAAAACACCCAGACATCTGCCTATGGCACAGATTCAAATGAGTTTCTGCTGAAATGGGATTCTACATTGAGTCAAGCTCAGGATAAGCCAAGTGCAACAGCCAAACCCATGCTCCCTTCCTGGCCATGAATTACAAGGTTGTGCTACAGTGAAAAGCTACGCTTGCATTTGGAAAGCCATGGCTCCGTGCCTTTGCTACTGGCCTGTGCAGGGATGCAGGCACTCAGGAGGCAAAGCAGAAGCATCCAGGGAGTATGAATAGGTCAAAGCTAAAAGGATTTTTTGATTTGTTTAAGTACACAGATGCTTCAGCAGCCATTCCATGAAGTTGTGTAGGTTAACAGTATTTCTAACTAAAATTTAGTTCCCAAATTAATTTATTTTTGAGGATTTCTTAAGAAAACCTATGACAATGCATCAATATTTCAAATTTCTGTTCCCCTTTTTTTGATGGAAACAAATGCTTAGATAAACCCTGAAGATTCCCTGTTTTGTTTTTGTTTTTGTTTAAAAAAAAAATATATATAAGGTTGTAAACAGATGACAAGTTCATTTTTGGTTTTAATTATACAAATCCAAATCTTGTTATCTTGCAAAACCCACTAAGATGCCTATGACTCATAGGAAGTAGAAGATGATTCACCAGTTTTCAAGTATTTATAGTTCTGAATGCTCCACTGGTTAGCACTGGCAACACTTACCTATTAAAGACCTGCAACAAGTCAAAATATACTATGTGGTAGAGTAAATGAAACAAAAAGAAATTCAGCATATGCTCAAGTATAGCCATAAAAAGAATCTTACAACTGTTTTCTGTGATAGTGCACTGAATTATTTGCCAAATTGTGGATGCTGATACTTATGTGTGATCACAAACATGCATTTGTAGAAACCTATACCCAGAGTCATGGTAATTAACACAGCAGAATTTATTGAAAATGTGTAAAAAAATATTGCAATCAAAATCTCTCAACACAAACATTTGCTGATAAGGCAACCAATATGCAAACTAAGTTAACAGTTAACATAACTTTCTTTTGTCTGGCAGGAACCACTTGTGAATAAAGTTTAAAAAGCAAATGTCAATCTTTTCACTTGAGTCAGCTGCTGATACTGGGGCTGACATAATGAAAGCAGAGTGCATTAAAAAAGATCAGACAAGCTGGGGAAAAAATGAATATGTAAGCGAGTTCTACAGCCCAAATGGGAGATCTATTCCTTACTTATTTCCTGGCCCCAAATCATACTAACAAAACCCTATTAGATTTTCTTCATTTCTCAGCTCTATACAGAAATTTGATCTATACGTTAACATAAAGAGTAGCCATACTTTTTCTCATGTATTTTGGATATAGATCCAAGCAAGACTGTATGTCTAAATTCAGACAATGCAACAAGCCAACTCTGTGTTATTTCCATTTTTAAATAGCTGTGCTGAAATGAATAGTCACATTTACATTGCTGTCATGTCTATTTATGACACGGTGCATAGTTTCTTGCATCCAGGAGAAGAAGAGTAACAAAAGACCGCGGGTAACAAATGGGGTTTGATTCCTATTGCTCTGTATATGTTTTTGCTGTATGAATTGCAAATTCAATTGCAAAACAAGGAAACAGGGTGTTTTATTTAAGCCCCTAAATTGCTCTGTAGTGGCCTAGCTCTGCATTTCACCAAATAAGTACAAACCTTAAATCAGTCTGTGCCTTCCTTGCCACTCATATCACTACCTGTATCTATGTTAATGCCACAAGGGGATGATACCTCACACCTTCTGTAGGTACTATTATAGAGATCACTATTAAGCAAAGGATTTTCTATTTTTTTTCTTAGAACTTTGTAAGTTTCTATTTTGCAGTAAAGTGTCCTTAATCAACTTGACGTGGTGGTGGATTTTTCCATTCACATAGCACAGGGTCTCCATACGCAACTGCTGTTGAACCATTACAACACCAAGATGCAGCCCATGTAGGGGTTTGCTCTAGCCTGCTGCCTTTGCCTTAGTAGTGCCTGGGAACAGCTCTTAGGCAGCACACACACACACAAAAACAAACAAACAAACAAACAAACACTAATTCCTATTGTGTCCCTTCAACAAAAGGAAGGTATTCCTGAAGTAAAGTTCCTTCTGTTTATGATTTATTTGTTAAAAATGCCAGGTTTTGTCTTGTGCTGGGTACACATTTCTAAAAGATAGACTAGGTCCATGATAAATTACCATAGCTGGTGCTTTATTTTCTAATGATGGTATTTGAATGCCCTGACGTAGATCAGTTTGAATAGACTGAAAACAAAAACAAAAACAAAAACAAAAAAAATCAATGCTTGAAATAAGATGTGTCTATAATTTTCAATTTCTGAATAAAAGAAGAAAGATTTGTACCAAAGAAATGCAGTTTCTAACTCACTATCCC